AAATTTCGTTTTGCGAAAAAAAACAAACACTTGTTGAGCTGGAAATTCGGCTAAAAACTTCACTTTGAAAGAAAATACACTTTTAATAGACTCAGAATATCTACAAGCTCGTTTAAAGAGTAATACAGGTAAATAAAAGCACAAGTACTCAGTCACACCTACCTCAGCTCTTCCTGTCACCACGCTGACTTCGGGGGGATCGGAGTGTAGCCGGTCGTCAGTCTCGTCTGGGGATTTTATAGCACCGCGCACATCTCGCGATAACTTCACCGCCGACGTGAACTCCAGCTCGCTTCAGCTCCTCCGCTCTCAACATCTTACTACCCAGCATGACTTTGCACTTTTCCTCAAGATTTTTTCTGGGAATGCTTATGGTCTTGTGAAACCAGAGTCCGGATGAGGAGAGAGAAGGAAGAACAGACTTCCAGGAAGTATTTGAAGGTTGTTTAACAATCTGTAACCTCAGTATTTATGATGAGATAAACTTTAATTACACACTATAGCAGCTTCATGAAATGAAACACAGAAAAAGGATAAGATAAGAAACATAAAAGTAGAATAAAGATAACAATAAAGATGATGCACATGCACAGAAATGTACCCAAACTAGGATATACAGGTGTGTAGACTTCAAAAGTTAACAGTGCTGCATTATTTTATTGCTCTTAAAAAGTTATGAGGAGAAACAACACTTAATTCATCACCAGTGCAGCCTGATTGGAGGCATATAAGACAAAATTATTTATCTTGAAAAAAAAAAAAACAGGTTTCTCATGGCCGGCAGTTCCCAAATCTAAAGCTCTAACAGTCATGCAGGGGTCACAGAGTCACGAGGTGTCATCACATGACTCAACCTTGTTCAGAAGCAGATCCGCTGTCATCATGAACAGACAATAAATGACATCTAGAGATTACAACTGCGGCCGCTCCTCTTTGTTGCAGCCTTTCTGTGATTTATCAATGATTTGCAAATTCGTTCCTGCTCAGAGCCAGCACAGCCCTGCATTTCTGTTTATAATCACAGAGTTTGTGTGGCGTAACGGCCGTGTCTCTACCAGGCTGTTTAGCCCTCTAGAATATCTAGCCGAGACAAAACGCTGTCTAAAATGGGCTCATGTTCTGCATTTCTGTCTTTTGCCATTGAAGTAACCAGAAAGGGAAACACATTTTCCACGCTAAGAACAGCAACAGCTAGATAATATGTAGAATTTTTTCATCATCTATTTGCCTAAATGACATTATTTCAAAGTAGTGGAGTGTTTGCTCTTCTGTAGAATTAAAAACAGCTATGAAAAGGTAAAGGCCCCACAGCAGGAACAGTCAGTCCACCTTTCATGTCCCAGACTTCTATTTTTGCAATGCTTTGTCCATCTACTTTTATTTTTGACGACAGACTCGATCCTTTACCTTTCTCTTTAAAATAAGTATGTTCTACAGGACGATGCATCCGCTGTAGTTTAAATCCACTGGACCTGATCTGAACTGAATACGTCTGATTGGAGGGCTTCTGTTGCTCTACCTTTCTCTTGAAGTAGATTCTTGTACTTGTCCAAGTTGCAGTTTGTTGGGAGGGGTTCCAATCCTTGTCCTGAAGTTACGGATCCAACTTGCCGACTACCCTCACCTGCCTTGTTCCAACGTGCCAGAGGCTGTTCACCTTGGAGACCTGCTGCAGATATGGGTACGGCCTGGCGCGAGATCTACACCTCCTCTCCTGGATTTTCAGTCTGCTGTCATTTGCCCGTGGTTCAGTTCAAAACTGTGCACCGCCTTCACTGGTCCAAAGCAAAATTAAGCAAGATAAATACTGACCTTGACCCCACATGTGACCAATACCACAAAAACCAGCCACTTTAATACACATGTGTTGGACATGTCCAAAGCGAAACACCATCTGGGAATCCATCTTTAGTGCTCTATCAAAAATATGTAATACTACAGTAGAACCATGTCCATCTGGAGTGACTGAAAGGAATGTACATTTAGATAAGACAAAGGCTAATATGGTGGCTTTCTGTACCCTCCTAGCTGGAAAAATGATCCTACAAAAGTGGACAGAAGGCTGGGTCACATAGGTCACGTACGATATCCAATTAGACAAGATTCGCTGTTCTACAAAGGGATCAATACAAGAATTCTATGATGTCTGGCAACCTTTGTTGACTTATTTGAAGAATGTAAACACTTTCAAATGTGGTTTACTTTAATTTTTACTTCAGTCTCTGTCTATTTGTTTATTTATTGTTTGTTTATTTTGCTTGAGCACCCATGTTGTGATGCACATCTGTGAACCTTTGCTCTCGAACTATCTGGCTTTTGTGTTATTGTGGTGGGATGGGGAAAAAAATGGGAAAAAGAAAAGATTGAAAAATGTATGTCTACATAGTATGTATTATCCAAAATAAAAAGACCTTGAGCAACAGCAACAGCAGCTCCCAAAACACCTTCATCCTTGTATATTTTTTGCTGAAACTAAATCATTCTGGTTTTGTTTTTATACAGAGTAGACTGAATATGTTCACATAACAGCTCTCGACCACCATGTGCTTCTTTCACTTTCCTCCAACGTCCTATTGCGACATTTCGGGCTCATTTAGTGGGCGGCCGAAGGCATTTTTCTGTCTCATTTCCTCCTCACTCCTCACCACTGCTATATTTGCTTTGTGACCAGGCCGAGGAACAACACGCACATTGTCTGAGCTTTCTCAGGCTGGTGGCAGTTTACAGGAAATGTGCATTTTACTTGGGCTTGTTTGTTAAAATACCTCCTGTTTCCTTATAGTTAGCTATTGGGTCTGCAGGCAGTCTGCTGTCATTCAGGAGTGTTGTAAAGGCTCCTCCTGTTTAATGATTGGCTGTATGAGCTGATGTCACGCTCAGAGGTGTTATTATATTTGTTTAAGATACAGGACGTGCGCTGTGAAGAGGCTAATCTAATGTACACCTGAGTAAAACTTTATGTTCTCTCAAAGGAGAACAAACAATGTGAGGGAAGTGGCATTGCAGCTATGAGTTAAGGATGGACCTCTTCAACAAAAGGATCTTTTTATGTAAATCCTCATGCAATTTTAAGATTTTATTGCCTAATTCTGGTGGTTCATCTCCTGACAGACAAACGGACTACTCAGGAAAACAAGCTCAACATGTTTTTCTGATCATATTCGTCCACCTCAGTGTGTGTAACCTGGACCGACAGAGTCTGTTGTCAGCTTCCCTCCATCCTGCCTCCTTTCTCTGCTGTCTTTGCACGCCGTTGCCATGGCGCTGCGACGAGGGCCAGATAAGAGGGGGGCATTCAATAACCTCCCCGTTAGAAGCACCGCGGTGGGCCGGCGATCAAACGGCGTCCTGTGTTCATCTCCCGTCTCACAATATGCCCATAATTAGTGCATCTGCTCCTGCTAATGATTCCAAAGCAACTGGATGTTTGAAGGGCCCTCGTGCAGCTATCGGTCTGGTCGCATTCAGGCCTGCAGGAAAACAAAGCCACAGATGAGATGGTGGGTGGAAAAAAAACGGTTTCAATATAGTCGTACTTTTGATTCAATATTGATAAATCAGTGCCGTTTGCAGGCGTATAATCTGGTTAGAGGCTTCACATAAAGGCTGAACAGTCCCCAATGTGTTGATCAGAACATTCACCATTTGGGAAAAGGCATATTCATCCATCCATCCATCCATTATATACACCTCTTAATCCTCACTAGGGTCGCGGGGGGGCTGGAGTCTATCCCAGCTGACTCAGGGCAAAGGCAGGTTCACCTGGACAGGTAACCAGTCTATCACAGGGCTACGCTTAGAGACAGACAACCAAGCACACTCACATTCACACCTACGGACAATTTAGAATCACCAATTAACCTCAGGACTGTTGGAGGAAGCCGGAGAACCCGGAGAGAACCCACGCTGCACGGGGAGAACATGGAGACTCCACGCAGAAAGATCCCGGGTGTCCTCACCGGGGCGGAAAGTGGCGACCTTCTAGCTGTGAGGCAACGGTGTTAACCACCGAGCCACCTTGCAGGAGAAGGCAGATCTGGAGGCATATTGCAACTTGCATCATCCTGACGAAGAAAAAGAAAAAAACCTGTACGGTTCAAACTGTTTCTACATTGAATGGCATTAAAGAACGACTTTATTTTGTTTTTTTAAATTAAACTTTTATTCATTCATTGAGTTAAAACAAAACAATTAAACATGACACAAACGTTCCTAACTCCTCAATGAAAGGGAGCAGAAAGAAGAATAATCTTATGTGAGGGCCCAGGACAGAGCCCTGGGGTACTCCACACTTCATATTATATGATTCTGACTTTACATCATCAATCTGCACAAACTGCTTTTTATTTTCTAAGTAGCTTGAAACCCACTGATGTGTGACCCCTCTTACTTGCTCAGCTTAGACTTTATAAAGTAAATCAGTTAGCTTGTGTAAACCTGAACACTGAAACGCTTTACTAAATGCAAAAGCTTATGAATAAACACAGTATTTAGGAAACTGAACAAGCCCATTTCCTACAATGCTGTTTTTTTTCTTACAGTGAACTCATCTCAACTACTTTCACTGATAACTTGTTGACTGTTAAATCAATCCTTAACTACATTTATAATAGATAATTTTTTAAAGGGAAAATAAGTACGAATACTCTCATTCCAGCTCCTTAAATTATTTTTTTTTCACTCCTCTATGACGGTAAACTGAATATCTTTGGGCTGTGGACAAAACAAGACATCAGCCTCACATTTGGGGAATATTTCCCCCAATGTTCTGACATTTCACAGACCAAAAAACTCATCGGTTAATTGAGAAAATAATCAACACATGAATTGACAATGAAATAATCATTAGTTGCAGCCCTAATTTCTGCTCATCATATGAAATCTGTTCCTCAGTAAACCCTGGCGTGCAGTGTGGTGTCACTGGGAATTATATCTGTTAAATCCATATCTGGTGTCAGCATGAGGGGCGTTGAGCGGGATTGTCCCGGTGTGAGGCTGATTGGGTGCCAGGTCCAGACTCGTCTCGACGTGGCGGCAACACGTGGAGTCAGCAGGAGGAGCTCAGAGGGGAGCTGGACGATCCTCATCCCTCACAGCAGGAGATGACAGCGGGATGCACTTATGCTGACACACAGAGGAAAACACACTCACACTCATACCACCACCATGGTTTCACCAAGCGTGTTTTAACAGTTAACCCTGCACTGAACAACTTTAATACATATATAGTACAGGATAGGGGCATGACATTGTGAAATAACTCAGTATTAGGTTGTAAATTGTACTAAAGTCTGTTTTTTCCCCCCTTATGTCCACTTTATTCATCATGTTATTAATCATTGTGAAGGAATAATGACTTTCCTTATGTGGAGTTACTCTTTTAGAGAAGATATTGAACCCTGATTGACCTCTTTAGGTAAATGTAGTGCTCGTAGATCTGTAACTTCTACAGATTTTTGACCTCATTGTAGGAGGACAAGCACCTGCACCTCTCAAGGCCAGATTATATCCAGGGGCCGACTTATCTTTGTTTCCCTTTTACCCATAAATCTGGATGTGGTTCCCACTGAAGGAGGATATGAGACTGAAGGTGTGAGAGGGATCTGTTGGTGTCACTTCTCCTGATATCAGTATTTCAACCTCTAAGTCTCCGGTGTGTCCCTCTGCGTCGGGCTTGATTATGACATAACGAACCTCCTACATGACAGGCTGTCTACTCATTCAGACTAAATCAGCAGCTCTGATCTGGTCACCTTAACGAAAGTGTAGCGGCTATTTCAAACGGCACTACACAGCCGCACTGAACCACAGGAGGTTTCTCACACTGAGGACCAAGACGAAATAATCCGTTTATTTATTTCCATCAAAAACAGAACATTACACGTCCACGTTGTCCACAGGTAGAACATCTAGAACACCTGTAGCTCATTCAAACAAAAAAACAACATCACAGGCATCCTCATAAGAGGAGGATCTTACCTTTACCCAAAGAAAGAACTGCTTTATCAACTAATCTTTAATCTGTATTTATATCTTTAGCGTTAGATTTTACCTTTTGCTTTTTACACCGAAATTTCTAGATTTTTAACCAAAATAATATTCAAAGTAGTAGTTGTAGCATTAAACATAGTAAAAGTAGTATTTATAGTAGTAGTAGTGTTTAAAGTAGTACCTGGTGGTAAGATCACACACTTTGTTGTGTGCTTCTGATATTTACAGATGTTTTCAATTTGATTTTGTGGGTTTTTTTTGTCCAAATTAATAAACAACCCTCCACATGACTCTCATGTCAACAATAAAGAAACGTTTGTTTTTGTATATTCTCATAAAAACCACAGAGGTGTGTTTTGTCCTGTCAAAACTAACCAGTAAAATGATTTCAGTGCTATTTAAGGATTAGTATCGTCACCTTCACGCTGTTATCAGTCATGTTGCACCTCCACACCTTCAATCTGCACTCCTTCTGATAATCTGTCTAAATGTAAATACCAATATTCTTGTCAATAATACGACAGTTTTATGGTTCTTATTTAAATTTAACTTTAATTCATCACTCCATGATATGTTTTTGCTTCTGCTTTGCACTATTACAGTTCATTTTATTTGTAGTCACTTTTGTTTTTTAGCTTTTTTTATATTTCTGTCTTGTACATCGCACCTTACTCTATATTTATTGTTGCACCGACCCAACAGAACAAATTCCTCGTATTGTGTGAACTATACCTGGCAATAAATCCGTTTCTGATTCTGAAAAGACCTGAAATGAAAACTGACATGATCTACTTGTCAGGAGGGGTAATAGGGTTCTTATTCAGGGGGCATCTTACCCTGGTTTACCCCTTTATTGATAACATATATTTCTAATTGTATCAGCAGTGGTAGTAGAAGCTGTGGTCGCTCTGGCCCTTTAAAGAATTCTCCCGCGCCGAGCCACAAACCCGGAAGTTGACCGGAAACACTTGAAATATTCGCGCCAAATTGAAACAACAAAGCAGGCAGTCTGAGCAGCGCGAGGCACGAACTGAGGCAGCGTCACCGGGCTCCGAACCTCACACACGGTACGATTCTTCACACGCCTTGGGGGTTCTTTTGGACTTTAACCGACATAAACTCTTTTATTTAAGAAGTTTAAGACTGAGAGAAAACTATCTCTTTCCGTCCAGTTATTTTCCTCTTTAGCGAACATGGACGAGGCCAACAAGCTCATCGGAACCGGCAAGAAGCACCTGGTGATGGGGAAGGTGGTGGAGGCGGTGGCCGCCCTGCAGGACGCCTGCGGCATGCTGTGAGTCCGTGAACGCACCGCCGGCAGCAGCACACGGCTGCAGCTCATTGACTTTAATTATCCATTAATTAATTCAATTAGAGCTTCAGTTAAGCTGCTGGTACAATGAAGCAGGAAGGCCTCATTTACCAGGGGGGGTTTAGTGACTTCACACAGGCGTCCACATGTTTAAATAGTTTATTTCATGAAAATAAAAAGAGCACAAAGGAAAAAAAATAGTGAATTATGATGTTAATAACCAGGAAAATAAGATGTGAAGAGGTTTAAGTGGGGGCCTGTGCACGCTGATTTATAACAGGTGTGCAGATTAATGCACTTTAAAAAAAAAAAATCTAACTTTATTGCACTTTTTATTGAAATCAAACTGCTTTACAAGTGATGCACACACCCCAGGATGTTAGGACAACACCTGCAAAACAACTGAACAAGACAAAAAAGAAAAAGAATACTGAACTACTTTATCTCTATCTTATTATACGTTTGAGAAAAGGGGAACAGAATGAGCAGATATGCAAACTATGCCGTTGAAGACATAGGAAAAGGTGCCAAATATGCTGGTATTTGCAACAAAAAAAAAGTGTAAAAATTGAATTAGAAAAGTACAAAGGAAGCTACAGACTTGCTTCCACACCGAGCGGCGCATCAGAAACAGAGATTCAGTGATCTTCAGTCCACTTGCAGATCTATTGTAAAGGAGTGATATTACTTGGGCTGTTGTTTGTAGCAGATTTTCTGTCCTGCACAGTTTCTCTGCCATGTCCAGTGATTTTTATGGCCTAAATATTTGACCGCAGGTTTCCATAATTACAATTTTCTCTTTGCTCTTGCTGAGCTAGGAGCTTTAAAAGGACTAGAGTGTCAGTTTTACAGCTACCTTCATTTAAGGTATCATCATTAACACACGAGAATCGCGTTGTGGTTGAAATTTTCCTACAAAACTAAATCCTGGTCTCCTCAACCACCTGCTTGTCTCCTCCTGTCATGAGCTGCAATCACCACATTCACGGGTTTTGTTAGCATTCAGCCCCCGTACACGCTTTTATTTTCCTCGTACATCTTGTGATTTGAATGTTAAGGTTTGCAGAATGGCTGAACATCCTTATTCAAACTATACGACTATATATGCATGTGTCATGAGTGCAGTATATGAGTTTGGTTTTCCTAAATAACTGCCATCATTATATTTGCTTCTGTGATTTTGTTTTTCATATATTCATGACATGTCATAAAAATAGATCATGCAATATTACACACAGATTTTAGTAGAATTAAATGATCAATGTTATTAATACTACAACCATGAAATGATAAAACACTAAAGATGCGCCGAATAGACGAGTACACATTAAAAATATCTGCTTCTCTCATCCTCTTCAAGGCCATTTTCAGGGATTTAAAGCAGCAGCATCCAAACTTTTGTTCTGCATTTAGAACTGGCTAAAAGACCTGATAAAGATTATTTAAAAGGTAGCCAGCAAGGCTCTGTAGTCCCAGATAATAAACTAATGAAAGCATTTTAAAATATGAAAACTAAACCTTGAAAAACAAATAGGCATAACTTGTACTTTAGTAGTTTTATGCAAAACATGTAAACTGCTTGCAGCTGCTGTTTTAAAACTGCAATAACTTCCTCTGAAGGGGAACCAACGAGGCATGCTTTTATGAAAATCTTTATTTCAGAGCTAAGAAGTACGGCGACACGGCAGACGAGTGCGGAGAGGCGTTCTTCTGGTGCGGCAAAGCACTGCTGGATCTGGCGCGGTAGGCAGTAGTTTATAAAAACCTACCGTTCAGATCTGTCTGTTGTGGCCTTGTGTTAATTATTGTGAATTGTTGTAGGATGGAGAACTCGGTGCTGGGGAACGCTCTGGAAGGCGTGCCGGAGGAGGACGACGAGGTGGACGAAGGCAAACCCAAAGACTCCAACGTTGAGGGCACGGAAAGCATCGACGGTGAGGAAGCTGTGATGTTCCGCTTGGCTTCGGTTCCTTCTAAAAGGCAGGTTGTTGATGCAGCTCGTCCTTCCATACAGAGAAGACCAGAGACGAGCTGAGGGTTCAGGTGTACGACGCCATGGCGGAGAAGAAGAACGAGGAGGAGAAGCAGCAGAGCGAGGACGCGGAGAAGATGGAGGCAGCTGATGAACAGAAAACCGAGAAAGTAGAGGGAGAGGAGGAGAAGAGCAGCGAGGCGAGTGGAAGCAAACCTGCAGAAAGTGAAGACAAGAAGGAGGAGGAGGAGGAGGAGAAACCAGCCGAGAAGGAGGAACCAGCTGCGGAGGAGGAATCTGCAGATAAAAAGGAAGAATCAGAAGACCAGCCAGAGGAGGCAGAAGGTGACCTTTCCTTCCTCCCTTCTCTCCTTTAACAAATGGTTTTCTGAGTGACTGTTTATCTAAACACGTGGAATTTGCTTGACAGACGATGAGGAGACGGAGGAGACGGAGGAGGGTGAAGACATGGAAATGGAGGGCGACGCTGAAGGTGAAGGAGTCGGCACCGCGGAGAAGGTACGGAACAATCAGCTCAAGTCCTCTTCACAACGACTGTGCTGTGATTTAAGTGTCTGTTTTTAAATCTGTGTTTTCAGGACAGTGATGAGGAGGAGGAGGAGGTGGGGAACCTGCAGCTGGCCTGGGAGATGCTGGAAGTAGCTAAAGTCATCTATAAAAGGTATCGAACCCTGACGGGCCAAGATGTTTGGGGTCTGAAGTTTGTGCACATGGAGCTCTAACTTTTTTCTTTTTCTTTTTCTAATAAGGAAGGAGACGAAGGAGGACCAGCTGATGGCGGCTCAGACTCACCTGAAGCTGGGAGAAGTTTCTGCAGAATCAGGTAGTTGGATGCTCCTTCGTTTCTCGTCTGCCATCTTGGATCTTCTGATTAAATGCACCTCGATGAAGCTTTGGGAGGAGCTTGGAGGGAGGGGAGATGGGTTATACTGGTGATACAGCTGTGCAGTGAGGACGGAAACATTGATCAGCTTCTGCTCTTCTGTCATGTGTCGTCTTCACCTTCTTCTTGCTGGTTGGAACAGAGATGTGAAGGACACAAGTTGGCGTAACGAAGCACCCCGTGTTTTTGTAATATCATCACCCTGTTCTGTCTCCTACAAACCCGTGAAGGCAGCTTGAGATGGAATTGGTTCATTCTAACACAACCAAAGTGATCAGGAGTTTGGTACAAGGAGAAAAAAAAAAACAACTTTAAAAATACACTTGTCAAACCTCCAAAGGCAGATTTTCGTTTTGGCCACTGGGGGGCAGCGTAAATAAGTTAACACAATACCAGTCTCCTTTTAAAGATGCAGCTTTACAGACAACAGCTGTAGGATACACAGCAACATAATCTCTAAATATGTTTCTGGTCATAGGTTATCGCCCCATAATAGGAAATGCGTTAAGTGGACAGAAGGCTTTCTCGAGCTTCCTCACTGCAAACATCTGCCTGTAACAAATCAGAGTGCAGCGACGCTCTCTGACAACATTTTCCACCTAAAACTGTCTGATTTTAAACATACTGGGTGTTAAATTTCTGCCTCTTCTCTTCAGGAAATTACTCCCAAGCACTGGAGGACTTCCAGGAGTGTCTGAAGCTGCAGGTGAATCACTTGGACCCGGACAGCCGCCTGCTCGCCGAGACCCACTACCAGCTGGGCCTGACCTACAGCCTGAACCAGCAGTACAGCGAGGCCATCGAGTCCTTCAACCACTCCGTCTCCGTCATCAGGAGCCGGCTGGGTGAGGGCTGACTCTTCACTTCAGCTGCTTTTTTTTTCATGTTTACATTCGATTTTAATGATTCCACTTTGCGTCTTTCAGAGAAATTGAAGGAGCTTCTCGACAAAGCCGAGGGTCCGGAAGCTTTGCCGGAGGAAAGGAAGGAGATGGAGGAGCTGAAGGCGCTGCTGCCGGAGATCCAGGAGAAGGTGGAGGACGCCAACGAAGGCCTGAAGACGGCGAGCATCGCTGCCGAGGCGGTGAAGGATGTGCTGGTGAGTCGAGGAAGTCACACAAACCAAATGCACTTTG